GGGGTATCGAGGATGGTTAGAGGGGTACAGAGAGTGAAAGTGATCTTAACTTCTGGGGTATCGAGGATGGTAAGAGGGGTACAGAGAGTGAAAGTGATCTTAACTTCTGGGGTATCGAGGATGGTTAGAGGGGTACAGAGAATGAAAGTGATCTTAACTTCTGGGGTATCGAGGATGGTTAGAGGGGTACAGAGAGCTAAAGTGATCTTAACTTCTGGGGTATCGAGGATGGTTAGAGGGGTACAGAGAGTGAAAGTGATCTTAACTTCTGGGGTATCGAGGATGGTTAGAGGGGTACAGAGAGTGAAAGTGATCTTAACTTCTGGGGTATCGAGGATGGTTAGAGGGGTACAGAGAGTGAAAGTGATCTTAACTTCTGGGGTATCGAGGATGGTTAGAGGGGTACAGAGAGTGAAAGTGATCTTAACTTTTGGGGTATCGAGGATGGTTAGAGGGGTACAGAGAATGAAAGTGATCTTAACTTCTGGGGTATCGAGGATGGTTAGAGGGGTACAGAGAGTGAAAGTGATCTTAACTTCTGGGGTATCGAGGATGGTTAGAGGGGTACAGAGAGTGAAAGCGATCTTAACTTCTGGGGTATCGAGGATGGTTAGAGGGGTACAGAGAATGAAAGTGATCTTAACTTCTGGGGTATCGAAAATGGTTCCAGGGAACAGAGAGCTAAAGTGATCTTAACTTCTGGGGTATCGAGGGTAATACCAAACATCAATTAAAACAAGGCAGGATATTAACAGTGTTGTGTTAAAGATTATTGAACATCCATTAAACTTAATATTAATTTTTAATTAGTTTCAGGGGTGCAGCAAGTGAAAGTTATCGTAGAGTATCGAGGATATTGCACTGTCGCATAATATATGATCTTCAAGTCATTCATATTTTTTCTCGATTGCTATTTTTCTTATCATAATACCTTTATTAACAACTACATGTTTTGTAAAAATTTGTGAAAAAAAATAAAATTAAACCCTAACTGGATGTACTTTCTGCTTTTGCAGAGGTGCACTCATTCTACTTCAGGCATGACCCGTACTGGAATAAGCCTCGGCCATGGTTTTGGAGACGACCTGATTTTGATAATGAGTTTGACTTCAATGATTAGACCGTGATATAGTGAGTGATACATATTCTCCATCACAGACCATATTTGGACTGGATTTACTAAAATGTTACATTTTGAGTAATACATGTTCTCCATCACAGACCATATTTGGACTGGATTTACCAAAATGTTACATTTTGAGTAATACATGTTCTCCATCACAGACCATATTTGGACTGGGCTGACTAAAATGTTACAATTTGAGTAATACATGTTCTCCATCACAGACCATGTTTGGACTGGATTTACCAAAATGTTACATTTTGAGTAATACATATTCTCCATCACAGACCATATTTGGACTGGGCTGACTAAAATGTTACATTTTGAGTAATACATATTCTCCATCACATACCATATTTGGACTGGGCTGACTAAAATGTTACATTTTGAGTAATACATGTTCTCCATCACAGACCATATTTGGACTGGATTTACTAAAATGTTACATTTTGAGTAATATATGTTTTCCATCACATACCATATTTGGACTGGATTTACCAAAATGTTACATTTTGAGTAATATATGTTTTCCATCACATACCATATTTGGACTGGGCTGACTAAAATGTTACATTTTGAGTAATACATATTCTCCATCACATACCATATTTGGACTGGGCTGACTAAAATGTTACATTTTGAGTAATACATGTTCTCCATCACAGACCATATTTGGACTGGATTTACCAAAATGTTACATTTTGAGTAATACATATTCTCCATCACAGACCATATTTGGACTGGGCTGACTAAAATGTTACATTTTGAGTAATACATGTTCTCCATCACAGACCATATTTGGACTGGATTTACCAAAATGTTACATTTTGAGTAATACATATTCTCCATCACAGACCATATTTGGACTGGGCTGACTAAAATGTTACATTTTGAGTAATACATGTTCTCCATCACATACCATATTTGGACTGGATTTACCAAAATGTCACATTTTGAGTAATACATATTCTCCATCACAGACCATATTTGGACTGGGCTGACTAAAATGTTACATTTTGAGTAATACATATTCTCCATCACATACCATATTTGGACTGGATTAACTAAAATGGAACATGTTGAGAATGATAATATTATCATACCAAAATATCCCTTATTTTGTGCCTTTCAGTTCAATCATCTTATATCTTCCGGAACATGGTCAAATATTCTGTACTATCAAAATAAAACCACATTTCTTTTAACTAGAACTTAAAACATTTGACAAAATCGACTCTGTAAAGTTATATAATTTTGTGGTTGATAAAAAAAATCGTTGACATTTGGACTAGTTGATAGATACAGCTCCCTTAAATTTACATTTGTGAACTTTTTAAAGTTTATATAGATATGTATTTTTGTTTTAGAAGCGGCACGAGACCAATGAAAATTGCCCCCTCACAAGAATTGATTTATCTTACCTCTATAGTCGCTGTACATCAATAACTACACAAAGTTCAATTGTTTGAGAAGTCTTTCTTGCCTTCTATAGTAATCCGTTAATACCGTTTTATTTTACAGGTTCATTGGCTGCAATGATTGAAGAGAGATTCATTCGGAAATAACCAAACCAAGAACATTTGTTAATCTTGAACTTTAAAATGAAATAAAACAAACACAAGATATTGCTAAATGAATTATTTTATTTTTTATATTCATGGCTCTTTAATATTGCCTTCTTTAATAAGGATGTATTCTACGTTTAAATCCGATGGCGTCGTCCATGTAATGTTTATATAATGATGAAAAGCGGAAAGGTGATACAGTAAACATTGTATGTTACTATAAATTATCTATTCTCCATACTTTTCTATAGTGAATAAAGTCAGAAATCCAAGATGTTTGCTCCTGAGCAATGGTTACCTGGCAACATCTCGATGTTGACTGCTTACGTCACATCTCATTACTGCTCGGCACTTTCCGGTCGTTACTCGACATTCCCCGCCATTATCATTTATATTTATCTAAAATGATTTGTTTACTTAGATATCAACGGTAAAAGGTATAACAAAACATCTCATACATAGTCAAAAATGTATAATATAATTATACTTTTGTTTTTAATTTACAATTGAGCGTTCACCTGTCTGTATATGTTATTCAAAGCCAACCCATTTAAAAGTGACTCGACGGTTTCTTGAACCGTAACTTTCACACTTTAGCACATAACTATCATGTGTTCAGTGTTACTGTACCAGAAAGTGTGTTTTGTAATTACATTACACACGTGCAGTCAGAGGGAGATGTTGACGGAACTGATTGCTTTTTATTTAGTCTATCATTTTGAGTACAAACCATCTCATTGTCCTTTTAATTTGAAAAAATGCAACGTTCTGTCTTGATTTACCATTTAAATTGTCATTTACAATATATATCCCATCATTCGCTTGGAAAATAAAGTTGTCTTATTTTTGATAAAAGTGACGATTTGCTATATGGAATCATTATACTTTCATCTGGTTTGGAAACAATTAAATAAAAATTGAACTAAAGATACAAAATGTGCCGATATGTAATTTATTTTAAGAACAATGACAGGATGATTGTTACATTTAAACATATTTGTATATATCATAATGTTTTATAAGTATATGGTATAGTTACGTTTACATTCAATTAATAACTTACTCAATATGTAATGGATGATAAACACATGCATTTGGTGTTCTTCTAAAATTATCTGTAAATATATTAATTGTGCACTCCTCGATCTAGATTTTTGAATTTTCTTTCGGTCACTTTTGATTTTCCCTCAGTCGCCTCTTTCGCTACAAAATCTGTTCCCTTAGAGCCTTACTGACGAATCCTATACGGACAACATAGCTGTTAATGTAATTTCTTTGTTTAGCTCTACTTTATAAAACCACAAAAAAGTTTTATTGAAAGATGCTATTTACTGGTATTTTGTATAATATATGTGGTGGCAATACGAAATCTATAAATCCATTCACAAATAATTTTATATATGATTTGAGGAGTGTTTTGTTACAAGTTTTGTAGAAAACTCAAAGTTACCTGATGATGAAATAAATAAATATTGATAAAGAAACTACGGCAAATGATTATTTCAGAACAGTTTATCTCGTTATGTTATTCTCGGGGCAAGAGTGAAACTCAGTGCAAAATTAAACACCCTGCAAATAAATCTAGGAAAGTGTGAAAATGTAGAATTATTCATACTTTCCGGAAAAATTATCTATATATATATAGGTACTAAGGAAAATAATCTCAAAAATAACAAAAAATAACGACATTTCAGCAGAATCAACGCATGGCAAAATATAAATTTAAAAAGATTTAAATGAAGATTCGGTTTATTGTGTAAAGTATAACATTCATAGCTACCATGGCGCCCGTAAATTACCTGAAGCCGTGATGATGTGATGGAGGCAGTATGGATGTTGGTGATTTCTGTGTTTCAGCATCAAATCGAAATTTCAAACAAGATGAAGGGAAATCTATATGTATTATATAATAATATCGTTATATTTTGAATAAATCGATTCAGGTTTCGGAAATCTACTCATTTTTGCAGAATATGTAAGCGCTGAATACGAACATGTCACCATAATCATAATCAAAACTCCAATTCGATCAGATGTAAGACAAAATATGAACAAAAAAATAACTGACACGGAGAAAATAAGACCAGGTGTTCCCGTAGAGTAAACATATTTTTCTTCGTTGTTGACATACGTCATAATAAGCAAATACCATGTCAAACGTGTCAGTGATAATCTTAAAATATTAAGCTATATCATTTTGAAAATTTTGTTTTGATTTGTAAAAATATCATGAATACTTTCAGCAATACTCTGTATTCGGTTGACTAAAAGGATACGGATTATAACTATGATTGTCCTCACACTCCGTATTGTTAGACAATTGTTTCTTTTTTGACTCCTGACGAATCGTCGTTTGTCAGCATGGAATTATCAGTAAATTCCCTGCCACCTACTTCCGCTTCTGCGCGTTCAGCTCTTATAGATACTTCCGTTTCTTCTTTTCCTGCATGTAGGTTTGCCTCTATGTCCGAAACAGGAACTGCCTTTTGCTCTTCGTCTGTAACTGAAGTACCTACCAATTTTGATGTTTCGCCGTTCTCATCTGATCCTGAAGTTTCCGTTATGATTGGTGTGTCGATTCTCGCATCACGTGACTTCTTGTCAGACTGTTGACCAATGCTTTCTTCATTCATCACCAATGAACTTTTCTCTTGCTGTGACGTGGATGGAATTTCCGAAGACATGTTAGCGCCATCTGTGGAGCCACCACGTCCTTCCGTAATAGTTTCCATCTGTTGTTTATCCGACGACTGTTGAGCTGACTTCACAGAAGAAAGCCTCATATTTGCATTTAGTCCCGTCCTATCATCAAACGGTGATGGCGATATTCGTTGATCTAGTCCGAAGTTTTCATTGATGGTCTCCATTTCTACTTCAGAATTATATAGACGCCGTACATTAGGCTTTGTAGCTATCCAACGTGAAAGTAATAAACCCACGTCATAGAAAAGTAAGAACAGAAGAGATTCCACGAGTAGAAGGTAGCAGAACCACATTGGAGATCTCTCCTCCATCAAATATCCGAGCAGGGCGGGGTTGACCATACCGCCCAAGGATGCCATGATTATTAGGAAGGCGGTTATTTTCCCAGTGATGTGTATAAAGTTTTCGTCTGTCCATGTGTATAATATTGGATAAATGATAGACAGACCGATTCCAATAAGAGGACTAAAAAGCCAGATACCGATGATGTGATAATACAGACCTGCTAATGTCAGCCCTACAAAGGACAGAATTAGTATCACACAATATCCACAGATTAGACGAACAGGATTGAGCTGTGTCACAAGGAAGATTCCTACAAACCGAGATATCCCGAACGCCGCAAAGAATAATGAGGTCGCTTCGGATCCTTGGACTTTCGTCATACCCATCTGTGCCACGCAAAATATAGTAAGAAATTCAGCAAATGTTTCCTCAATAGCTGTATAAAGAAAACAAAGAATGCCCATATTTAGTAAAATCAGTGTCTTTTCTCTCTTCGACAGCGGTCTCGCTTGTTGCACGTCGTTAATTGGTAGACTCAGGCCATGGAGGAAGATGGAGTTTTTTATAGACTGATAAAAAAACAAAGCTGCAGCAACGAGGACCAGACAAGCATTGATAATATATACTAAGTAAATCCTAGTCTGTGTGCCATCATACAGAGTGAAGATTGTCACGGATGTAGAACCGCTTTGAACACCAGAGACACTGACAGTAATCTCGGGTGCCAGAAAAGGGGCGGTTACTAGTGGGGAAATGACAGCGCCGACAGCAAACATGAAATACATTCCCTGCATCCACGATTCGATGGATTTCCCCCAAAGGGATACCATTTCAGTATTGGCAACTGAAAGATAAAAATAAAATCAATATATTCATCTCCAAGAAATAAAGAAAATGAAAAAAATATTGAATTCACTGATAAGGATACAAAATAAAAGAAATTGAACTGAAAATTGAATGTAAAAGATACAACGAATGTGTACGAATAAGTAAATCATTTCAAGGAAACAAAATAATGCTGTTTTTGTGATACAGAGACATTTGGCTATAGTGATATATTTGATTAACGGCTGAAATATTTCATACTTTTCAATTTCGTTCGAGATTGAGTTTGTTTAGAAATTATCATAACTTATATAGCAGTCCCTTTGTTATATTTCATATACCATGTTTTTTTTATATAACAATCAAATAATATGTTTAAAAAGACAAGCATATGTATGTCAGGATATCTTCAGATCAATTTTGTAGATTAATTATGAGGTAAGTGTACCTCCTAATCTAGATTCTTTAAAAAACATTTGATCACTTTTTATTTTCTCCAGTCGCTTCTTGGGCTTAAAACATTAGGCCTTTACATCAAGGTCGGGTCTTAGAAGGCTGAAACAGCAGTTCCATGACTTGTTTGACTCTACCGCATCTTACCTAAATTATTAAAATGTACTTTTCACTTTTATTTGTGGAATCTAATTATTTTATTCAACAAGAAGAATCTAAATATTTACTTGTATCTATGGCCCCCTCACAAGTGCCATCTAGGAACAGGATGATCATCATTATCCAATACTGCCTGCAGTACGGTATAGTGAACTCAAACGCAGCCAGGACCAAGCACGTAAAAAACAGGGTCAAAGGTCGACTCAGCTTCTCGTAAACCATACCTCCTAGAAAGGACCCTAGGATGTAGCCTACTCCTAAAATTATAATGTAGGTGGCAGTGGCCTCTAGGCTGACGTTCGTGATCAACGACAGATCCAGTAGGATAGGTCCCAGTTGGCCTGTGGTCCATCCCTGTTGAGGAAACAGATTTGATGTATTATATTTATGGGTGTTATATCAACGTAAGTGATGAAAGTGTTATAGCTACCTATAGTTTGTAATACACCATAACGACTTTATTGAATAAGATGGGTTTTTCTTGACATAAGCATGGCCAATAAAATACCACGCCCTCCCTTGCTATTGTGCTCCCTCCCACTCTTACACTTTAAATCTATCACAATTAGAATCTTACTTTCAAGTTCGTAGGAGTCATCGGTCTTCCTCCGATAGCTCGAAGTTCTAACAATATGTAGAAGTTAACCAAAGAACTATAATGAAGAAAACAGCTTGAATGAAATGCGGTGCGCATCATTATCCAATAGTTCCGATTTACAAAACGGCAGATAAACAAACGGAAAAGCAATATTTCAATATAAAATAACCTCCAAAATTGACGCAATATTGTGAAACAAGATGTTATGAACAGTCATACTGTACGGGTAAGAAATATCATTGTTTATTTCCACATCACGATTAGTTTTCAGGGGTTAAAGCGATGCTTGTGAAAATTATTACAATTCATGATTTATCAAACCCGTAACACACGATTTTGAAAGATGCAACTACCACTCAACAATTGATCTGAAAAGTATCGACTAAATGAGATAATTTACCAACAAACATGCATTATACAATGCTTATAGTTATAGTATTTGCTAATGTCCGGTCCATGCTGGCTGGAGTTAACTCCCTTTACCAAATGTTAGGTAATTGCTATTACAATTTGGAATATTGTTATATTACTGATTAGCAGTTGAGTTTTATCAAAATCAGTTATATTAGTATCACTTCAAATGGATCTTAAAATTATCTACGTTATTAATGTTGCAAGATGCTTCCTAATAGTGAATAACTGGTGTCTGTATGTAAATATACTGGTACCCTCACTTATGAATAAGAAACCTGTATTTGGGACTGATTTGTAGGAGTATTTGATAGGTGTAGGAAGAGAGGTAATATTATGATTGTGAACACATTTGCACTCGATAAATTAAAGATAACAGAAGTGTTGATATTTGCAAAAATAGATAAAATTGTGCTTATCTCAATTTCAAATAAACAGCGGGGAGTTAAATGGAACCATTTTGTCGTCATGGCATTGCCAATCACGTCTAGAGGGTGCCACCTATTGCTTCTGGTAATCCGCATCAGTTATATTTCACTCACCACTCTCCTAACGATCCAACTATGACTATAATACTTCAAAGGTTTTCTTTACTATTTCATTGTTTAATAAATATCTTTGGCCATCAAAAGATCAACTGTATACGTATCGAAAGCATGTGCGATTTGTAAATTATTTTTTAATTTAAAATCTTATCTTTATATAAACGTGACTTTTATATCGTACATGTGTCAAAAAGGAGCGGATCAGCTTGGCTTGATATAGTGTTAAATACAGTCTCTGTCACTCAGCTGACAGGTTGGTGTGACTTGTATATAGTGTTAAATACTGTCTCTGTCACTCAGCTAACGGGTTGGTATGACTTGTATATAGTGTTAAATTCTGTCTCTGTCATTCAGCTGACAGGTCAATGTGGCTTGAACATAGTGTTAAATACTGCCTTTCTCACTCAGCTGACGAGTCAGTGTGGCTTGTATATGGTGTTAAATACTGTCTCTGTCACTCAGCTGACGGGTTGGTGTGACTTGTATATGGTGTTAAATACTGTCTCTGTCACTCAGCTGACGAGTCAGTGTGGCTTGTATATGGTGTTAAATACTGTCTCTGTCACTCAGCTGACGGGTTGGTGTGACTTGTATATAGTGTCAAATACTGTCTCACTCGTGCTCCATTGGCTCAGTTTGTAGGCCCGGTCGATTCTGTTTGGGAACCATTCAACAAGACTGTGAATTTCTCTGTCTATTAACACATAATGTGTTGTAACATTTCATTTTAAGATAGATCTGTTAGTATGTCTGAGAAGGATCAAGAAGGATGTTGGATTGAGGGCCCTATGGGCACCAGAAGAGTCTACCATCACCATGATACGAAAATGTTTGTTATTTCCTATAGTTCAAATTTGTGTGGCTTTACCAAATGCTTGAAACTGAAAGGGTGCATCATTCCATCATCTCATGGCGTCATCGAAAATAACGGAAACTTAAATCCCCTCAAAATGACAACGTTTACAGTATGTATATGGCCATCTTGAAATGTCAGCGTTATTTCTGTAGCTTTTTGTATGTTATGCTAATGATAGGACATAAATATGGTTTAACTCCATATTAGCTGTTGTGAGTCTTAGAAGTCTACTTAAACTTCGGCGCAGGTTTCATAAAGTCTCATTTGAAATGAAAACGAATCTAAGACATTATTTATCATATATCTTAGAAAACTTACATCATCAGAGGTTCGAACGTAATCATGTGGAGGGCAAAACCAAAAAGAAACATCTATTTTGTTGTGCCTTTGTCAGTTCCTGACGTGACGTCATTATACGTAGTACGGCATCACAATCGGTTTTGGTCTGGCGCCGCCAATAAAAACGTTCAATGGGATATTATACGTGTAGCATATAGGAAAAATATAAATATGACACGGGCGCGTTCACTGAATTAAAAAGGGGATTAGGAAATAAATCTAAATAATGTTTTATTGTTTTATTACTTACCAGTATCATATACACCCAGACTAAACAAAGACTGTACGTCACACGAATTCGGTATGTCCTGTTGTATTGTAGCTTTCTTATCACATTTCCACATCGGTCCAGGAATTTTGGTTTAGGCTCCTTAACCACAGGGGATACTTTCGGAGGTTCCGCATCGATCCGGAAGCTTTTACCAAAAGTACTCTTCCTTGTGAGTGACCTTATGTCCCTTTTATATCCCTGGCGATCACTTGATGTGTCTCTGAGGATAACAGATCCTTTACATCGTCTCCAACTCATGGTTTAGGAATAAGGTTACATATATTTTGTATGGAATATATCAAAGTCAGCACATAAAATCAGAGAGCAATCTCTTCTATTCTACAACACATCAAATCTGGTATATCCTTTCTGGTAATTACGAAGCTGAAACGGATATAAATGTCTTCTGGATAAATTATTATGTTATTTTTTCGTCCAGTCATTTGTTGTAAAACTGATGACGCATCTACTGTTCATCTCAATCCTTTAGACGCTAGACACAAATCACAAATCACGAAAAAAAAATAATATCCCCCAGATTATGTCTCATTTTCCATTTAATTTTTCCTGCAATACGTGTGAATGTCATCTGGTTAGAAGTCCAGAGTATTTCTGTAGTTAGAGATATAGAAATGGTTTACAGTGAAAGAAACCGGATACCGGAAATGACAATATTGATATCCGGACTGAGCGACAACCACCATTCTCTGTACACATATATGGTATACTAAGATCTACTGCTAATCGATCAATACTATATGACTATTCTTATATTTCATTGATAATGAATCATATTCTATTTATTATTTATTTCATTTATTTTATTTTTCTGGTAGGTATTCCATATGTAACTGTTAGCAATATATGTAGTAAAATATGCATAAATATTTTGCATATGCAAAAGTATTGGTGCATGAATGCATACATTCCGTTTTTGTTCTTGTTTCTTTTTTAATTTCTTAAGATAAATATCTTCGTTGTCACTTAATTTCGAGGAAAAACTTGCTAACGAAATTTTACTACTATTATAATCCAAGTTAATTATCTGTTCATTACTTCAAGGACATTTTATTTGTTTCAAATATATTTTATTTGCGTAAGGGTTTTAGGAAATACTCTTCATTGTAGACAAATAGGGGAAAACAAAAGAAATGCTGATCATTGATTTATGAAATGAAAACGCTTTTTATGATTTTCTTCCAGGTAAATATTTACAAGACAAGAATATCTGAACATATTTTAGTGACGTATGAAATTTTTATTAAAGAAATAACAATAAAGAAGCAGAAATTTGAAGCATTTAAAGACAAACACAAATGTTTTGTGATCCTGTTAATGTCAAGCCAATGGTACAGAACCGAACACAAGCATATCACTAACTATTGAAATCAGAATAGGTATGTAAACATAAATGCTTTTAACATTTGCATAAATTTTACAATTATGGACGACATAAACATCTCCTTGACAATTTTTCAATTTTATTCCGTAAGATTATACAACTTATTGGATACATAATATTCTTACAAATGGCATATAACATCGCATACATTCCACTGTTATGCCTAAGTCATCATCATCAACTTGTTTAAAACATACAATTGTGCCGATGATATTACATAATATACACATAAACGTTATAATTGTTGGGCTGAAGTGACCAGGCCCCACTTGTATAAAACATCTCAACTTGAGATTTCCTCAAGTCGAGATTTTCCTCAGCTGATATCTCCTCAAAAACGGCTTGTATAAAATTTTCTCAAGGAACAGGAGGAAGTCATCGGCTAGGATGTCCTGAAATTCCTTGAGGAATTTTCATACAAGATATTTTCAAGGAAATATTAGCTGAGGAAAATCTCGACAAGTGGGGCCTGGTATTATTGGTTACAAATGAGGTCAGCACTAAACCTATTTACATCACACACGGTGGCTCTAAATCAATGACTGATGTGAACTCATAATATCTATAAATAGATTTATGTACAGAAGACACTGATTAACATAAGCCTTGGTGAAAAATACATTCATTCAAAGCTACACCGATCTTAAAAATGGCTCACACAATAATTATGTAGTCTTCGCTTCTCTCTTGTATCTCAAGCTTTACACCGGTAAATTTCTAAAATAAAACTCTCTCAAGAATATTAAACTGGCATTAATTTTTATCTGTTTCATATTTCGGCTCAAGAAATCCTTAAACTGAAGGGAGATAAGCCAGAATAGAACTTAGCAACTCTATACAAAAAACTTAAGATTGCAAACCAGTCTAGTCAATAACAATACGTGCATTCGACATATTAATATAAATACTTATATCAAACCAAATTTACTCAATATTTAAAATTCTTTGGGGGTATATTTCACTGAAATCACAAAACAATTCTAAACAGATTTTGTTTCCAAACTGTCGAAAAATAATTCAAATGCACTTTACAAATGTTCGTATTTTTACCTATACACTAAAATATATATAATTACACAAATACAGTAAACTTACTGAACGGGAATTGTTCAACACAATGTACAACTTATCTTAGCCATATCTCAGTCACATTAACTTTGAAACATGTATAAACCAAACCATCCTCAATATCCCAAAGGTTACGATCACTTTCTCTCTCTACACCCCTGGAACCATCCTCGATATCCCAAGGGTTACGATCACTTTCACTCTCTACACCGCTGGAACCATCCTCGATATCCCAAAGGTTACGATCACTTCCACTCTCTACACATCTGGAACCATCCTCGACACTCCAGGGATTACGTTCATTTTCTCTCTCTACACCTCTGGAACCATCCTCGACACTCCAACGGTTATGATCACTTTCTTTCTCTACATCCCTGGAGCCATCCTCGATATCCTAAAGGTTACGATCAATTTCAGTCTGAACACCCGTGGAACCATCCTCGATACTCCAGCGGTTATGATCACTTTCTCTCTCTACACCCCTGGAATCATCCTCGATAACCCAGGGGTTACGATCACTTTCTCTCTCTACACTCCTGGAACCATCCTCGATACTCCAGGGGTTACGATCACTTTCTCTCTCTACATCCGTGGAACCATCCTCGATACTCCATGGGTTACGATCACTTCCTCTCTCTACATCCGTGGAACCATCCTCGATACTCCAGGGGTTACGTTCACTTTCGCTCTCTACATCCCTGGAATCATCCTCGACAATCCAGGGGTTACGATCACTTTCTCTCTCTACACTGATAGCAGAACTGAAGGTTTCAAGTGCAACACCTTGTGGATAAGACGAAAAGACTAGTTTGATTCTTTGATGCAAATCAAACGAATCTGGTCGCATAAACAATTTTGTAATGGCTTTGATGTCGGGTGTAGTGCCTTTGTAATCTTCAAAAGGAGCGTATTAATCTGTGATTGGCCAGTTTTCGTTTTCTCCTGGAACCAATCAAATTAGTTAGCTTGTGCCTTCAATTTTGCCTTGACATGTTTCAAGTGGTGCAGAGAGCAAAAGTGATCTTAACTTCTGGGGTATCGAGAATGGTTCCAGGGAACAGAGAGCTAAAGTGATCTTAACTTCTGGGGTATCGAGAATGGTTCCAGGGAACAGAGAGCTAAAGTGATCTTAACTTCTGGGGTATCGAGAATGGTTCCAGGGAACAGAGAGCTAAAGTGATCTTAACTTCTGGGGTATCGAGAATGGTTCTAGGGAACAGAGAGCTAAAGTGATCGTAACTTCTGGGGTATCGAGGATAATACCGAACATCAATTAAAACAAGGAAGGATATTAACAGTGTTGTGTTAAAGATGATTGGACATCCATTAATTTAATTTAGTGTATAAGCACTATTGATATATTCATAAGTGCCTCTGTTACAGTCCTCGAGGTGAGGATACATATTCTCTCTGTCCGAAGTTTGTTTATATCCTACTAAGGCTATCGGTGACGGGTCTGGCTTCTTGGCTGGTTTTTCCGTTGTAATAGGGGTCAGTGTCACTCCGGGCTCTACTTCCTCCTTTACAGTAGAATTATCATTGTTGATGTCCTATATTAAACAAATTCAGATATTATAATCCAATAATTAGTCGTTATCATTGATGCCTATATGTCTGGAGATGGCTGTTAGGCCTGAAAACGTTAGCGGGATACATCTGTCGTCTTGATTTTATTCTTTTCAAATATATATATATATATATATATATCAATTGTACAAGATATATATATATATATGTCTTGTAAAATGTTTATTGTTATAATCTATCAATATATATCATATATATATATATATATATATATATTGTATATTCTTTTCTTGGGTTTGTAGATTTAGTGTATTTTGACATTGCCTGAGACGAGGGGGAAACAGTTTTGACTATTGTCCTGTCCAGGTCAGAAACTGATGCTGACACAGACTACACTGATAAATATACATTTTGTATGGATATAAGACATAATATATCCGTGTTTTCTGTGTTTAATTCACAAAGCTTTGACATACCGAGTTTATTTTCCGGTATTTCTAATCACGGATGTCCTTAGTATTCAAAGCTATCAGGTACATATACTAGATGATTTTAATTCTAACCTGACTTTAATATACACATTAACTTTCGTATATACTTTACTGATACTACAATATTATATATAGGAACACTACAATATCATATATCTGAACAATACAATATTATATATAGGAACACTACAATATTATATATAGGAACACTACAATATTATATATAGGAACACGACAATATTATATATAGGAACACTACAATATTATATATCTGAACAATACAATATTATATATAGGAACATTATAATATTATATATAGGAACATTACAATATTATATATCTGGACAATACAATATTATATATCTGAACAATACAATATTATATATAGGAACATACAATATTATATATAGGAACACTACAATATTATATATAGGAACACTATCAGAATATATATATATGAACACTACAATATTATATATATGAAAACACTACAATATTATATATAGGAACACTACAATATTATATATAGGAACACTATATTATATATAGGAACACTACAATATTATATATCTGAACACTACAATATCATATATCTGAACACTACAATATTATATATAGGAACACTACAATATTATATATAGGAACACTACAATATTATAATATTATATATAGGAACACTACAATATCATATATCTGAACAATACAATATTATATATAGGAACACTACAATATTATATATAGGAACAATACAATATTATATATCTGAACACTAAAAAGATTATATGCCTGAAGACTATAAAAGAGGGAAAATTACATTAAGCACAGTTCTTTGAAATTAAAAACCCGTCGCTTGATTTGATGAAGTACAGGAGATGTAAAAAGGAATAAAAAAAAGTCTCACGAGACAGATCATAATTACCTAAATCACGTGGTTTAGACGGTACATTTGTTTGGTCTAAAACCTTTTATAACAAATAAGCGCTCTATTTCCTGTCAACTACGTCCCAGTTTGTTACAAATGTTATTATTACCCATTAGATTGCTGTAAGAAACTGTCGCGATACACAGCTCAATTTGTAAATACCAGATATGAGTTAGTATAGCTATCTTTGTTGAAAACAAAAATTTCCACGTGTTGTAAAATTTCTCTGAGAGAGACATATATTGTTGTTGGCCTTTCTTGTCTGTGGTTTCCGTATAACAACAGGTTGGAGACTAAGAAACCAGATTATAACCAGTTTTACACGAACCGTGTATAAATGTGATCCTGCTCAAGATTAATTTTTTGCGAAATTAGTCTAACCATGAAATTCGTAGATACTTATCAAACACAAAGCAACATTGGTTATCAGTATGTCATACAGACAGAGACAGACAGACAGATGAACAGACAGACAATCCAATTATTCAAGTTATATAACACAAATGAGTTTTAATTGCTTCAGGCATTTGATGTATAATCTCATTTAGTGATAAATCTTTGTCACTTACCTCTGGCTCTGGAAATTCCATATTACACCGTAATTTTTGTAATAAGGCGTTCGGCAGACAACAAAATATCCTGTCAAAGAACGGGATCAGATATTTTGGATCAACATCATGTGTACCATTAGCTCCTGTGAAAATGAAAGTAAATAAAATAGAATTCTCGAAGCAATCATAAATAAAGGATTGTATACTGCAGTGGCATACATTTTCGTGGTGCGCAATTTTCGTTGTTAAAAACCGCTAATTCTAGGACTTTTGATTTTCGTGCATACAGCTCTAAACGTGTTCATAGACGTATTAATTCATGGGTTAAGACTACCGAAAAAATCAACAAAAATAATTATCCACGAAAATCAACGATTTGGCAGTAACTTGTCAGACCAAGTAAAACAAAGGACTGAAAGAAAATTAACAAAAACAAATCATCCACGAAAATCAACGATTTGGCAGTAACTCGTCAGACAAAGTAAAACAAGGGACTGAAAGAAAATGAAGACGTACTCAGCGAAACGTAATTGTAACAGACAACGACAGCACAACGAGGACAATGGCAGAGATAATAAGATACCTAACAGTGTTAGGATCTACCTGTATAACACAACAAAATACCAACAGAAAACCACAAACTGTGCTTAACATAAAAATGACATTCACAAAATATAGGAAAAGATTAATACGTTTTTAAAAGTGTAAGTTCAAATGCCTCAATGATATCTCTCAACAAATGTCAACATTGTCTTCCCTAACCGTAACGAATCACTGTTTACATGTGTGTACATTGTTTATAACTTAAATCTAAATATATTAGTCAATAGTTCTAAATGAGGTAACTCGTCAATGTCCTTCTTACCTGTACAAAAACTGACAACGAGACCAATGATCACTACAGTGGCGGCCCCTATCGACGGATACCAAAGATACGAAACTGTGTACAGCTTACTGATACCAGTTCTACAAAAAGAAGCTTCATTTAAACTAAGACTGTGATTCCTGTTTGTTACAGAAGATGACCTTCGTTTAGGTTGTATTATAGAGTTAAAAATATATATTTTTTTAATTTGACACGAGAACTGTCAATGTTCGCCTGTAAACAACATGCTAGAAATGGGGTGAGCACCAACAAAACTGATAAAATTGAAATAAAGAAATGCTGAACGTGGAAATCAATGTAGATAGTAATGATGTGGTACTATAACTGTAGGACGGTTACAATAGGCTCAATTATGACGTCATTTACACTATGATGTCATTCAGTAAATAAATTTTACATATCATTGTAAAAAGAAAACACCAGGTATTCCCGAACAATATACGTCTTCTATTAAAATTACGTTGTAAACAGTACCTTTGCATTTAAAAAAAAAACGAAGGAAAAAAGGATAAAAAACAAAAACAAATAAAAAGAAAAAAAAATCTTCAAAAAATCCTCAGCAAGCTTTAAATTACTTAGTCTACACATATATATTACACCCCTAAGCAAATATGTCCTTGTTTCCTGTTTTCTAAACTGGTCTGAGTTTATGATCTACCTACATTTCCTCCACGACAGGTGCGAGGGTCGTCGTTGCCATGGTAACTGTTGTTGTCATCATCGTTGTGACGTTTGAGATGCTGTCTACAGTACAATTATCAGAAGGAAATGGCAGCGTTGACTTGGTACCGACGACACTGTAAGCTCCAATACTTATCCACATGGGCAGTACCAGGCCAAATATACTGCCTACCACTGCCCCCTTGTTAAAATACACACGAAAAAATAGTTTTAAAATATTATTTATTTTTTTCTCGTCGTTGTATTTTTGTGTATTTTTCATTGTAACATTCTTTTGGTCGTTTCATTTGATTCATATATATTACATATATACAGTAAAAATGATTTTAAAAAAACAATAAGAATTAATCAATAAAAAAAATGACGAAAACAAACAAACAAACAACACAAAACATAAGAGGCCTTCTCCCTTAAAATATACTTTGTGTTGTTTGTTTTTTTTGCCATTCTTTTCTTTATTGATTAATTTTAATTGTTTATTCTTTTACTGTATATATTCAATGATTAGTCATTACGTTCACATATGATATACAATTTAGGGACCGGCGACACATTGGATGGGTTGGTATACTCTCTTGGAATATCTCCAACCCTAAAACTCATTTGACAAGGCGCTCAAACAAGTTTAGTCCTCTAGTAACATAAATCTGATGATACACTCTACAGAATCAAATCGAAATTATCATCAAGTCCAATGTTCACTTACTATCCAGTTCGCCCACGGGAAGAAGGCACCAAGCACAAATATTCCCAGAAGAGGTCCTGAAGCGGCTCCAGTAAAACTTAAAGAGGCCTACAACATGTCAAACACTCGACACAAATAATATTAAATTCATGAAATCAGCACCTAACTTAGAACGCAACTGACCAAATTATCAACCAAATTCTGACCTGATGAATTCGTAAATATAAGTAGAAATAGCTAGACAGACCTTTCCTTGTGAGGTTAGATCAATTTATTACAACAATCTCTTATATGTTTATACCAGGAATATATAGTACGGCATTGTTAATATCGGCGATTTGTGTTTTTGAAGAGATGAAAATTGAACCCATCACTACGCTCTCAGACGTGAACTTGTAATGATTTCATTCAAAGTGTAAAATTAAAAATATTAAAATGGATTTTTTTTTTAAATTTGAAAGTTATTAAAATTTTGTTCATGGGATATAAATTTCTTATCATTCATGTGTCACTTTGGAACATATATATGGACCGTGGGACGGGAATCCGTGCCAAGTCCCTGTGTCACTATAATACATATATATATGGACCGTGGGACGGGAATCCGTGCCATGTCCCTGTGTCACTGTAATACATGTATATGGACCGTAGGACGGGAATCCGTGCCAAGTCCCTGTGACGCTATAATACATATATATGGACCGTAGGACGGGAATTGGTGCCAAGTCCCTGTGACACTATAATACATATATATGGACCGTGGGACGGGATTCCGTGACAAGTCCCTGTGACACTATAATACATATATATGGACCGTGGGACGGGATTCCGTGACAAGTCCCTGTGACACTATAATACATATATATGGACCGTGGGACGGGAATCCGTGCCAAGTCCCTGTGACACTATAACACATATATATGGATCGTGGGACGGGAATCCGTGCAAAGTCCCTGTGACACTATAATACATATATGTGGACCGTGGGACGGGATTCCGTGTCTCTGTACGATCAACATATCGTAAAATTTGATTTTTGCACCTGTTGACCTGATTTTATGTCCAGAAAGTTTTCTAGATGATGATATGTCGGTAGGTAGATCAAACACAATTCTACAGACCTGTAACACTGTTCCTCCCAGGTTCATAGCCATGAAAGACATCCCGATACCACAACCGCCGTACAGAACAACTGCAAAATAACTACCTCATTATACAAACGAGAGATTATCTATAGTTTTCGCTATCACGTGCGCACGTGATATTGTACATATTGTATGTATCTATGTAGTGTATATTGTGTACATATTATATAGAAATGACTTCATTACATATTTGCGAAAGCTGCATGAAAAGAAAGGAAATGAAAAAAAAAGTATTTTCTTTCGTATTGAATCCTTTAAACGGAAAGTCAACTTATTAAAATGAATAATAATAATAAACAATAAAAAGATTGGCAGCTTGTAATCCGTATTGAAAATAAGACAATTCTACACACAACTGGATAGTATTTTTCAATCTTTAAAATCAGATTTAGGAGAGCCAAATTATGTGTCAAACTGCCTTCTTCAGCTGTTTCGTCCGTCCAGGACTCGTCATTGATATTATATCATACAGCTGTTTCGTCTTTCTAGGACTCGTTAGTGATGCTACATCATACAAATGTTTCGTCCTTCTAGGATTCGTTAGTGATGCTACATCATACAGCTGTTTCGTCCTTCTTAGGTTCGACAGTGATGCTACATCATACAAATGTTTCGTCCTTCTAGGACTCGTTAGTGATGCTACATCATACAGCTGTTTCGTCCTTCTAGGACTCGTTAGTGATGCTACATCATACAGTTGTTTCGTCCTTCTAAGACTCGTCAGTGATGCTGCATCATACAGCTGTTTCGTCCTTCTAGGACTCGTTAGTGATTCTACAACATACAGCTGTTTCGCCCTTCTAGGACTCGTCAGTGATTTTACATCATACAGCTGTTTCGTCCTTCTAGGACTCCTCAGTGATACTACATCATACAGCTGTTTCGTCCTTCTAGGACTCGTCATTGATGCTACATCATACAACTGTTTCGTCCTTCTAGGACTCTTCAGTGATATTTTATATAAAATAATGTATCTTAACTAGAGAATGTACCTTACAATTAAATATCTATAGTATGCAAGATGCCTCCCATAAGTTAAATGTTGACCTGGATTGTATTCACAGGAGTATAAATGCAGTCTGGACCACAGGACAATAACATGACGTCATTTTGACGCCATGTATATTCACGTTACGTCAATGTTTTTCACTTCGCATCAAATAACACGCACAAAAGCTTTACGTTAATCATTTAGCTGGATAAGATTTTTTGAAAGTTCTTTCCAGTTTATAAACATACCGATTTTTTTTTCTTTTTTCTTTTTGATCAGAAAAGAAAATATTATTTCAAATTATATCCGAAATTTAAATGTAACCATTGGGTATTTGTCAAATTGTATTTATTGTCATTTATTCATTAAAAGTTATTTGGTGCCAGATATATGGCTCTTAGGGATGTCGTAGGATTTACCTGTTACTGATATTACATTTATATTAACAATGACTACAATGTGACAGATGGTTAAAATGACTCACCGAGAATTCTTGTTACCCAAGTTTTCTTCTGTTCAGACAAGTTATAGAGACACGGTTTTAAGATATCCTCCCACGTGACTGCAGAGAGGGCGTTCAGACACGAGGACATGGTACTGTACAGGTAAAAAATAGGTATTACAGGTGATACATAATATAGGTAAAATCACAGGTAACACAAGTACACGTAAACAGGTAATGATAGGCATTACAGGTGATATGTGATACAGGTAAAATTACAGGTAACACAAGAATAAGTAAACATGTAGTAATATACATTACAGGTGATACGTAATACAGGTAAAATTACAGGTAACACAAGAATAAGTAAAAATGTAGTAATAGACATTACAGGTGATACGTAATACAGGCAAAAGTACAAGTGATACGTGATACAGGTAAAATTACAGGTAACACAAGAACCAGTAAACATGTATTCCATATACTGCACATGTGATGTTCTGGATGTTTTAGCGTTAACCATTTTCAAGTCACGAAAAAGAAACCAGAAAGTTAATATCAACACCAGTACTATTGCCTGTTTCTGTGATGACGAGGTTGTGTCCCTGAAAAAAGCACTTTACCCTAATTACACCTCTGTATGATATGTGACGGGCCTCCCCTAATGTGTTCCGTGAGATAGCAATCAGCTACTTAAAGAAGCCCGCCCCGCAAAATGACCTCGGTTATTTACAGGGCGACAAATCCAGTCAAAAAATGAAGAAAAAGAAAAATATTGCCATGGCATTGTCTAAATAAAAAAACCTACACACAAAATGGTTTGGGATATTTCGTTTTTAAGGATTAAGTAGAACACTGATTACAACCAAACCTCATTATCTCGAACTTATATAACCAGAAGACCCCGTTTAAGTCGAATTATTTCGTAGGCCCTGCACACACCTCAATATTAACATTCGAACTCACTTATCGAATACTTTAATAATTCTAAATTTTACCGTGGTCCCGCCGATTTCAAGTTAAACGAGGTTCGGCTATAAATAATCTAGAAAACTGATATTTTTTTTCCATAAGCGAAGTATGTTTTTATTGCTTAACATCCTGTCAGCAGCTACAAATATTGAGTGAGTACATGTGTTGAGTACGAGTGTTTGTAGCAGTATGCGATTAGTTCGTAAAGGCCTCCGTCTCCGTGTTAAAGGACAGAACTGAGATCGGTTGATAGTGCAAGCACACTGAAATATACTATGGACTAACTAATGGGGGTGGGGTGGTGGGGATTTGGGGTGTGTGTGAGGGGGGACCAGTAACCATAATTAGAAGCGTTAAACAGTGACCAGTAACTATCGAATTGTAGACACTGGTATCCTTCGCAAGGTAATTTAACCCAAAGCCTTCCTCATAGGGGTGAACGCTCAACTAAAGGCCAAAAGTGGGACAGTGTCAAGAGAAACAATAGGAAATTGAAAATCTATTGAAAAGAGGAAGAAAATAAAGATCTTAGGTCGAGTCGCCTCGTACGATCATACAATCGGGGCAGGAATTACAATAGTTCTGTCCTACCTGCTGAACAACAGTGGACACCAGGGGTAGAGTAAAGGATATATGCATATAATGCACTTTTTTGTTTGTTTTTCGCATAAAGAAGTAAACGAAACATTAGGCTGGCATTCATCGGCTAATGAATCCAAACTGAACAAAACCAAATTCCATGAAAGCGTGTTAGAATTCAAATTTACCGCGGTAGACTATGTAATGATAACAAATGATTTATTTACGTCAGAGATGTAGTACCAGTAAATATAACAGATAAAAATCAGATAAACGATATGTCGTGTTGCTAAGCAACTAAGAGTTATCCCTCATTGTGACAGTAGTAAGTTAGACTCTAGATCAACATAGGCAGACAATAAGGCTTAACAGTAGGAATAAAACGAAAACAACGAATAACAATAAAGGGAGTCTTTAATCGCTGATATCAGAAATATTATTTTTTGAAATTTGAAAAGTTCACTAAAAACCGCTGTTATTTGTATCTTGATTTTGCTTTAAATAAAAACATGTTAAATATTTGTTTGGAACATTGAAACCAATTGCTTGAATGTGCCTTTCGTATTCATGAAATAGTAAGAAGGGTTACATATATATTATTTCTGTGTATAAAATCACAAGTTTGCTTCATGACATTCAGAGTTTCTTATCAAATAATAACCATCACTACACAAAGTAAATAATTATTATATTTCGATAAAAATTTAGTTTGAGACGATGGAACCAAAACGTACGCTATATTGCACCATACAGCTGTTCCGTCAGTAGTTGTAAATATAGGCGACGACTGAGAATAATAACACTTGAAAGATATGTCAGAAAAAAATTACGCACAATATTGAAGGCGAGGTTGAAAGGTTTAAAGTGAGGTAATTTACATATACCTGTATCTCTAATGGCTCGATCTGATATGTGTTGTACATACACAACGTCGGGGTTTAAAAATTGATTCCTTTCGGAGTCGTTATAATTGATTGATAAAATACAGGGAAAAAAGATATGTTTATTAAACACTATGCCCCGGTTGCGACAAATTTCTAAAATGGGACATTAAAACTGGTTTTGAAGTGGGACATTAAAACTGGTTCTGAAGTGGGACGTTAAAGCTGTATTGTGTAAGGCATGTGCTAACTGCATACACACTTCGTGAAACACTTACATCTTACAATTTAATAGTTAAGGCCAGTCCTTAGTTTTTTTAAAATTTAGGTCAAAGGTCACTTTCAAGGTCACTAGGTTTAAAATTTGGTACCGCCAGAAAGGTCTTGTCACAAGGAACACACAAGCTGAATCTAAAACATTATCACTTACGATGTAATAGTTTAGGGAAGGTTAAAGTTGGCAACAACAAAAAACAGACTGACAAAAACAGACAGAACAAAAACAAACAAACAAACAAACAAACAAACAAACAAACCTACAAAAATAACCAAAGTAAAAAAAAGCAATAAAGAAATGAAAAACAATATGCTTCTGATCTTTCTATCTTTTGACATAAAAATCACAATTAAATCCTACCTAAGCGCCCCACTGAAGAGACAAGCAACGAAGAGTCCAGGTAACCCGGGGTAACCAAGTTTCTCCATAACAAAGAATGGGATAATCTGCAAAAAGGAAATATTTAAAAAAAAATAAATGGAATCCATGTGTCGTTTATATTGAAAAATTAGTCTATCTGAATAAATCACGTGTATCTTTTATCTTCTAAGTCATATGATTACATAACAATCAAAGCAATGAACAAAATATCCGGAACAAGGTACATAGTAATTAAATGAAAAAAGAAACCGTTAATTAATATCCGGATAATTACATAAGGGAAATAGCTCTTATAATCTGATAAAAATTATATTGATAACAAATTCCAGCAAATTGACCATCTCATGTGTATAAACATAAATTGCACTGTACCCAGTTTGAGTTTGAACACAAATCATATCAGTTTGTATCTTGTCGTGGTCACGTGCATATCCCTAGTTAGATATTCAAACGATTTTTTTTTTGTATATTGTCATGGTCACGTGCATATCTGTGGTTAGATATTCAAACGACCTTTTGATACCTCGACCTCTTACCTGGTTAGAATTAGAGACATCCCCGTTAGAGAGTGGGTCACATCCCTTTTCTGCGTAATAGGCGAACACAACGATACCGGCCAGACACGTGATCGTGACAAGGATGAACACTCCGATAATGTTTAATAGAACAGCCCTGAAACACAGTTATCACCCATGTTAGACCGAAGTGTCAGACATCATATTAATCAATTCATTCTTACTGGATTGTACAAAAGACACACAAGTCAATAGGAACTTTAATATTTTAGAGTTATATACAGAAGTGCCAAACAATGAATTAAACTACATTTTACAGCTGTTTTGACCTTTTAGGACTCGTCAGTGACGCTACATCATACAGTTGTCCTTCTATGCTAAATTTTGAAACGTTTAAGGAAAACAGATTACGTTTCGACAATGTCGAATGTCAGCCATGATTTTACCTCCATCCATGCTAAAAGTTTGTCGGATAAAGATGTAAATCAGGATTTTGTTTTCATTTTACATGGACAAAAATCACAAATTTAAAGTCATTTCTAGCCCCCTTTTTTGTTTTTTTGTTTTGTTTTTGTTTTAGAATTCCGTGTTTACTACCTGGTTATTGTTTTGATCCTGATCGTTGACGTATAAATGGCACCAAATATATAATTCCGATATTCTTGTTTATCCCACTGCTGAGCGACATTGTATTTCTGTATCCTTATTGTAAATATAATGATTTTTTTATTCAAATTCACTTTTGGTTTAAAAAATTCCCGTCCTTATTCACAGGCTTCATCATGTGATAAGCAAACACCTTTTAAAACGCCAAGGTGAAAACCCCAGAACCGGATATAGGTAGTGCATTCTATAAAAAGAAACGGATTACCGTGCTCTGAAAAGTGTGACGTCACAGAAGGGTCGATCGATCTTAATGTTGTACTTACGCCTTTGCCTTTTTGAGTGTAGGTAGGGCACAGTACCTCTGTACCGAGGCTTGGTTCACTCCATAGGTAGCAGTCCACCCTACCATCCCACCGATCACCAAGGACCAAAACGAATGTCTTTGTGTTGGATCCGGATTGAAACTGTTGAACAAAATATCACAAAGTGAGCAGAACCGCGAGGTGATTTTTCTTTAACAAAATAGAAGCGTTACTATCTCAGTGTTTTAACTGGCTTTCTCTGTGAAAATGTACCTCTTAGAACAGAAGAAACGAAACGAACCAAATCGGATTTGATCCCTTGCCGATATCAGGCGCTATGTTTCGTTTCGGAGAGATCAACTTTCCCGAATTACTTACTCAAAGAATTCGATCCTGTCCCACTCTTTGTTGACTTGCCAAACGTTCTCCAATCCTCCGACCGATATTGACCCCTGACAACAAAATAAGTATAGAATTATGATCGTAAATATCCTTATCAATTAAAAAATGTATTCTTATCATGATTATCTCTTCTGACTAATGTGAGGTAAAACACACATCATGATCAGAAGCTATATGTTATCACACTAGTTAGTGTCTGACGAATGCAAATATTACAATGAGTAGTACCACTTATCTGATAGTGTATCAATTAATGTAGTTCACGTCTGTGAAGTCTTACACTTTACCTGTAGTGCGTAATGCACTTTATTTGTATGAAGTACTACACTGTTACCTGTGTGACGTAATACACTTTATTTGTATGAAGCACTACACTGTTACCTGTGTGACGTAATGTACTTTATTTGTATGGAGTACTACACTGTTACTGTTACCTGTGTGACGTAATGCACTTTATTTGTATGAAGCACTACACTGTTACCTGTGTGACGTAATACACTTTATTTGTATGAAGCACTACACTGTTACCTGTGTGACGTAATGCACTTTATTTGTATGGAGTATTATACTGTTACCTGTGTGACGTAATGCACTTTATTTGTATGAAGCACTACACTGTTACCTGTGTGACGTAATGCACTTTATTTGTATGGAGTATTATACTGTTACCTGTGTGACGTAATGCACTTTATTTGTATGGAGTACTACACTGTTACTGTTACCTGTGTGACGTAATACACTTTATTTGTATGGAGTACTACACTGTTACTGTTACCTGTGTGACGTAATGCACTTTATTTGTATGAAGTACTACACTGTTACCTGTTTGACGTAATACACTTTATTTGTATGGAGTACTACACTGTTACCTGTGTGACGTAATACACTTTATTTGTATGAAGCACTACAATGTTACCTGTGTGACGTAATGCACTTTATTTGTATGAAGCACTACACTGTTACCTGTGTGACGTAATACACTTTATTTGTATGAAGTACTACACTGTTACCTGTGTGACGTAATACACTTTATTTGTATGAAGTACTACACTGTTACCTGTGTGACGTAATACACTTTATTTGTATGAAGTACTACACTGTTACCTGTGTGACATAATGCACTTTATTTGTATGAAGCACTACACTGTTACTGTTACCTGTGTGACGTAATACACTTTATTTGTATGAAGTACTACACTGTTACCTGTGTGACATAATGCACTTTATTTGTATGAAGTACTACACTGTTACTGTTACCTGTGTGACGTAATGCACTTTATTTGTATGAAGTACTACACTGTTACCTGTGTGACGTAATGCACTTTATTTGTATGGAGTACTACACTGTTACCTGTGTGACGTAATACACTTTATTTGTATGAAGTACTACACTGTTACCTATGTGACGTAATGCACTTTATTTGTATGGAGTACTACACTGTTACCTGTGTGACGTAATACACTTTATTTGTATGAAGTACTACACTGTTACCTGTGTGACGTAATGCACTTTATTTGTATGAAGTACTACACTGTTACCTGTGTGACGTAATACACTTTATTTGTATGGAGTACTACACTGTTACTGTTACCTGTGTGACGTAATACACTTTATTTGTATGGAGTACTACACTGTTACCTATGTGACGTAATGCACTTTATTTGTATGAAGCACTACACTGTTACCTGTGTGACGTAATGCACTTTATTTGTATGAAGTACTACACTGTTACCTGTGTGACGTAATACACTTTATTTGTATGAAGCACTACACTGTTACCTGTGTGACATAATGCACTTTATTTGTATGAAGCACTACACTGTTACCTGTGTGACGTAATGCACTTTATTTGTATATGCAGTCCTACACGTGTGACACTTCATTTATAAGAAGTCTTACCTGACGATTGACGTGTGAACTTACCTGTACAGTAACGTATGAACTTACCTGTAGATTTACGTGTGAACTTACCTGACGAGTAACGTGTGAACTAACCTGTAGAGTTACTTGTAAACTTACCTGACGAGTTACTTGTGAACTTACCTGTAGAGTTACGTGTGAACTTACCTGTAGAGTGACGTGTGAACTTACCTGTAGAGTGACGTGTGAACTTACCTGTAGATTTACGTGTGAACTTACCTGACGTGTTACGTATGAACTTACCTGACGAGTAACGTGTGAACTTACCTGTAGAGTTACGTGTGAACTTACCCGTAGAGTTACGTGTGAACTTACCTATAGAGTTACGTGTGAACTTACCTGACGAATGACGTGTTAACTTACCTGACGAGTTACTTGTGAACTTAAATGACGAGTTACTTATGAACTTACCTGTAGATTTACGTGTGAACTTACCTGACGTGTTACGTATGAACTTACCTGACGAGTGACGTGTGAACTTACCTGTAGAGTTACGTGTGAACTTACCTGTAGAGATACGTGTGAACTTACCTGACGAGTTACTTGTGAACTTAAATGACGAGTTACTTGTGAACTTACCCGTAGAGTTACGTGTGAACTTACCTGTAGATTTACGTGTGAACTTACCTGACGTGTTACGTATGAACTTACCTGACGAGTGACGTGTGAACTTACCTGTAGAGTTACGTGTGAACTTACCTGTAGAGATACGTGTGAACTTACCTGACGAGTTACTTGTGAACTTAAATGACGAGTTACTTGTGAACGTACCTGTAGAGTTACATGTGAACTTACCTGTAGAGTTACGTGTGAACTTACCTGACGAGTTACTTGTGAACTTAAATGACGACTTACTTGTGAACTTACCTGACGAGTGACGTGTGAACTTACCTGACGAGTAACGTGTGAACTAACCTGTAGAGTTACTTGTAAACTTACCTGACGAGTTACTTGTGAACTTACCTGTAGAGTTACGTGTGAACTTACCTGTAGAGTTACGTGTGAACTTACCTGTAGAGTGACGTGTGAACTTACCTGACGAATAACGTTTGAACTTACCTGTTGAGTTACGTGTGAACTTACCTGACGAATTACGTGTGAACTTACCTTTAGAGTTACGTGTGAACTCACTAGTAGAATTACGTGTGAACTTACCTGACGAGTAACGTGTTAACTTACCTGTATGACAATGGCGAGTATCCCTGCCACCATGACTAGCGACTGAAATACATCAGTCCAGACTACCGCCTTCATTCCACCCTGCGAAAAACCAAGAGTAGTAACGAATGAGTAAATCATCTGATTTATAGAGACCACGGGAAGTTATATGTAGAACGAACAACTGATTTGGAAAGTGACTGGTGCATGAAAACTACAAAGGAATAACGAACGTGCATAGTGTTCGCATTAGATATTACGATACATCACAAAAGATGAGTTCCGAAGTAAGAAAAACGTTGCTTTTTCAGAAAAGTTACAGGTTTTTGATGTGAAACAAACTAAATTGTATACATGTTTCTTTAAACATACAAACGACAAGTTCTATAATGAGAATATTTTCTTACTGGCAGAAAAGGTATGTACGTGTTTAGAGCGCTGGTCCGTTAATGATATCGGCGGTAAGCCAAGATGAATGCAGACATAAATCTATGTAAATCCAGATGAATGATGGCCGACATAGACTTACCAGGAAAGTGTAAAACGTCGAAACACATCCGACTGTAATGACGGTCGCCCAGGTAGGAAACCCGGTTACTGAAATTTGAGAAAAAAGATATAAAACATGATCCAGCAGTGTTGTAATTATTAATTGAAAATATGTTTTCTTCCGACTATTTAGTAATAATGTCTGACTTATGAAGAAAATGACTGATATTAACAAAGTAAATCCGGAGTTATCGTTCTTTGCATCCAATTCTTACAGTTTGTGTATGTACACTGTATTTATACAAAACAAACTGTTAGAGATTATGAATTGCGGGCGAGTTCTATCTCACTTTGAAAGCTTATACTGAGGATGCGTAGTGTGACCGGATGTTTTGACGTTTATGACAAACGACTTTGCAAGTAGTTCAACGAACGTTTCAGTTGGTGTGACCAGGAAAAGCAGATGTTGTGCGCATGCGTCATTGTTTGAAAGAAGACACTCGTTGGTGTGTATTTACTGACATATGTAACGTCAAATGATACAATGGCGAGCTAGAAGCCAATTGCTTACGTAGACCCAAGATCAGGTAAATCCAGGTAACCGCATTTGATGGAACAGCCAGATGATGGCAATGCTGGTCGATTCTCGAACTCCCCGCGGAAATTGGCACTCGGAACAAATTGCTAATTCTATGCGTTCCGAAGGACCGAGTATCACGCACGATGTGGAGTTCGGTTTATGATAAGAAGTTTTCAGATAATTGAACAAGCAAGAAATACAAGCACATTTGTAAGAAGTCATAAAAAAAAACCGAATAAAAGATCGAGAAATTTGTTTTCTATAACGCACGTAAAGACTTTAAATTTAAAATTCGCCGCTAAAACTTGTAACTTACTTTATCATGGTTTTTTTCTATTCTCTTTTTGAATTTCCAGGCAAGAATTGTTTGTTGACCTCATTATCCAAAATAATTTCCCCGACTCTTCGTCTCTAGCAACGTCTGTCTACAACGGAGGTGTCCTTCGGCCTTCATTTTTAAAGAATGAAGACTAATTAATATGTTCTATAAATACCAGTGTACACGTGACATATTTACCTGCCTCCAGAGCTGTCGACGGTGCGTAGGACGCAATACCCATGTAGATCACCTGTAATTCACAAACGTACAGCTAATGAAACATAAACACAGCAAAAAGGATAAACAGCAATATTTTTTTCATAAAAAATAAAACCTCAATTTTTTTTTTGACAGAACTGATTCTGCTAATGAGATTGTTATTTATACAAAGCTACACAGGTAACTACGGGGACGTAATAGATTTATTAATGGAAATGGGAAAATGAAACAGACATTGAGATACTATAACCGACCCTTTTTTGTCACTAATTTTGCCAGAGTTACATCCCCTATACCACAGCAAGGACGTAACTGGCCACGGTGATATTGTTTACGCAGGGGACGCCATGAACTTCTCGGCACTTTATTAAACTTATTTGAATGAAGGAAAACGAGCTACCGACATTCGTGTTGTGGATCATGAGTGACCCCTTTAGGAGTGACAGTGTAGAGGTTAAAAATCCCTAATTGGGAGACGGAATACAATTGCAACACATGCTAACTAAGCAGTTACCTTGACGACAAGAAAATGAACTTATTTAACGTAATAGATAGGTATAAAGAGGTATGGCGCTTAACCATTGTGGTCCGATCTGATTTGCTAATTTTTCGGTACCTGTTTGTACTAATTTTCAAGGAAAGAACTTAAGTTACACTTGATCACACTGGATTAGATTTAGTTACCTAAAAAGTTGAAACATATGTGCGCTGTGTGCCAAAATTGCATGTAAAACATTGAAAAAAAGTTTTAGTGTATATTGCTTCAGGTAGCAGCTTTGACGATCTGTATGTAACACGTGACTCCTATCCATGACTTTTTTTCTGCTTATTGATATTTGGTTAGGTTTTATGAGATTACCTTTCCGAATTCATAAAAATGGAAAATTCATTTTATTGTAGGTCACATTAAGGTCAAAATCTGGCGGTTTCACGCCATACTACTTTCACATGACTGGAAATGATTTGTGTCAGGTTCATTTACAATGTTGTAATATAAATGAGAAACACTCATCTAAACAATCACGGCATCACTTTCGTAACATGATCTATGAGGTGTCTACACCATTAAGGCATAAACTATACTGACATATATCACTGTCAACACTTGATCTGGACATCTGTAATAAATAGGAAGTTTATAGCGCTCGAATCAAGGGCGATAACTTATAAATATAAAGTTTATAACGCTGTTGTATATCACCCCTTGCTATAGAATTTTTATACTAACATAAAAGAAGTTGGAAGACAATCACGACGGTCCCGGGGATTTTAACATTGAAGGTTTATATCGAGCAATTTTGATAATTTATACACTTCAATACAATTTTGCTTACAATCACATATCATGTAAAGTACTTGTTGTTGTCTGAATTTTCCCGACATCCCCCGCCCCTCCACTTTTTTTTTATCATTTCAATCTGTGAGATAGTACTTGGCAATATTTGTTGTTATTTGCCTTACGTCAAAAATGAAAAACAAATTTTGTGACGTCAGTGTGACGTCATGTCCGGACTACATGATTAGAAGTTAAAGTTATCATGGTAACGGCCCTAAGGCATAGTTATCGAGGAAGGTGATTGGAGAGTACCTATTTAAATGTATCAAAACCAAAACTGAAGGCTCTGCGTCCGCATTCTAAATTATTGTTAGGAAACTTTCACGCCTGTGACATCTTTGATAGATAAAAAGGGGATCACTGGCTAACATCTAAAGCACAATAACATAATTGATTTGTTTGTCGATCTTGTTGGTTTTTCTCTTTAACAAACCACATTGACCAAACAAGGACTTAATGAGAGATATCACGGATGTTCGTGGACTTGACTGATTTCTTTAATGCTTTATTTCAGTAATTAGTCGATTACGAAATATCTATATTTTTACTTACCTGTTGCAGTATCATCATGATAGTTCCAGTAAGCTTGGCTGCTTTAGAGTCGAACCTTCTCTCCAGGTACTGAAACACAAATATTCTTAATAAACAGCTGAAATATCTGCGTGTTTATCATAATGCTATCTAGATGCTGGGTGTAACGTTCCTTGGGGATTCCCTGCGGTAGCTGGTGACTTACTCAATGAAGAACATGCGGGAGGTACGGCAAAGTGGGTCACAAACGCACAATCAATTATATTCTTTTAAAACAAGTATGATCATGTTAATATGAATAATAATATATGTAAATATAAATAAGTGTGATTGTGTTAATGATATATCTAAGACGTTTTGTGCACGAATATATTTATTTAGCCATGAAATTCGAGTAAATCTCTCTCTCTCTCTCTCTCTCTCTCTCTCTCTCTCTATATATATATTCCCCCCTCTCTCTCTTACTCTCTTAATTAAGAATGATATGTATATAATTATTTTGAGCCATCTTGTAATGTATATATGCAATTGTTTTTCTTCTAAAGGAAAGGGCGATGATAATGTTATTGTAACTTGTGCAATAACACAATCAATCAGTTACAAACATGCCTAAGTAAGGAAAGATGAACTTCACAGCTCGGGTTTTCACCTGATGTTGCCATGTCGATGCTCTAACTTTTGAATATATGAGTTGTCAATGATTTAATATTTAGGATGAACATCTATATATTATCTATAATCTATATTATCTATAAATCTGTTTAATTTATTGTGATATACGGTTTCTCTTTTTTCTCGGAGTAAACACAAGCCCCCTAATTACCAAAATATCTCATTTCTCATTTTTCTTGTGATAAAAAATGACATCGGCCATATTGTATCATAGATTTTAAACGGGTGGTAATTCATCTTATAGAAGATTCCTAATCTTTTCATTGAAAAGAAATATCTCTATTGCGTCATTTGTCTTGTAACGTCATCAAAGAAAGCGAGATAATTTTTATTTCGTTTGTCATTCTAACGAATGAAAAAAAAAAAAAAAAAAATGATGGAACTCGTCACGAAGTTAATTGACTATGGTTCCATTGTGACGTCATATCTTCATGCAGATTGTGACGTCACCAAAGATATAAAGAGGTAATATTGCCATGCAGACTTTGATTAATAATCTTATAGCTGCATTCTCGAATACATGAATAGAACAAAATGAACCCAAATCGTCACCACACAGGACACGTGTCGTAATCGAAAACGGAAAGTTTGAAATTCGTAGATAACAATGTCTGATATCAAGGAGATGGGTCTCTTTTATCAGAAGTAGAAGACATGTCTCGCTTCTCGTTATTATTATTCATGCCATGAACTTTGACCTCATAATTAGCTTCATATTCAGGGTAATCAATCACAACGTGACCTCATTCTGTCAGTCACTTTCCTGATTTAAATACACTTACGACGGGCTACGATGTGAATGTCTTCTTTCTTCTGTCAAGGTTTAGTTAAATGAAATTGGTGTAATACGTCACGAATTCATGTGTACCAATTTAATTGTGACGTAGAGATTTTCATACCATTTCCCAGTGAAAAATAAAATCAATAAATTATTATGTCCTTTATTCGAAAGGAAATGCAGATTTATCTTCTCTTATTTAGTTTATTTATCTATTTATTTATTTATTAAGCAGTATTTGTATACGGTGTTATTTATTGATTGAAAAGTGTTGTACGTTTGTGTCTATTGTGTTTTCATTTCAGTACAAATCAATTCATGATAAATATGATTTTTTGTGGGAAACTGTCTTAGTGATTTTGGTTGATCGTCGCGGTGAGAATTCAAATTAATCAGCCTCAAACTCACTAATGAATATTTACGAAGTATATCTCTAACATTTTTATGATAACTGTGTCGTCAATGTTTTTGAACTAAAAGTGATTAAACGCCGGATTTATCGTCATTTACACAGCGTCATTTTGAGAATTGATTTCCTTGTCGTAGATTGTGGCTTCCTCACAAAACAACACACGGGAGGACCACAATAAAACGTACCGGTCCGTTTCGCTTCGTCTTTAGAAACACAAACATCGTCGGGTGTAGGGAGCATCGAACTACGGCACCTCGGATCTTTACTTAAGGTTACATTAGTCAATTCTCCATTCTGATCTCTCTAGAGTTACTGCCCTTCGTTTTACTCTGGCAGTACCTGTGTACAGATAAGCTTGACAGCCAATGGCTCCGAGCTATCGTAAACCCGAACTAAATGTGAGGACGTATTAGAAACTTGAGACAGAATAAAGATCAAATGTCGTTATAAATAGGAAAAAATAGGTTATAACCTATTTATCGACTTTGTAACAGTCCACTTATGGTGCCCCGTGAATATAAATATTTTACTGGTGTTTCTGAGTTAGGTTATAACCTATTTATCGACTTTGTAACAGTCCCCTTATGGTGCCCCGTGAATATAAATCTTTTACTGGTGTTTCTGAGTTAGGTTATAACCTATTTATCGACTTTGTAACAGTCCCCTTATGGTGCCCCGTGAATATAAATCTTTTACTGGTGTTTCTGAGTTAGGTTATAACCTATTTATCGACTTTGTAACAGTCCCCTTATGGTGCCCCGTGAATATAAATCTTTTACTGGTGTTTCTGAGTTAGGTTATAACCTATTTATCGACTTTGTAACAGTCCCCTTATGGTGCCCCGTGAATATAAATCTTTTACTGATGTTTCTGAGTTAGGTTATAACCTATTTATCGACTTTGTAACAGTCTCCTTATGGTGCCCCGTGAATATAAATCTTTTACTGGTGTTTCTGAGTTAGGTTATAACCTATTTATCAACTTTGCAACAGTCCCCTTATGGTGCCCCGTGAATATAAATCTTTTACTGATGTTTCTGAGTTAGGTTATAACCTATTTATCGACTTTGTAACAGTCCCCTTATGGTGCCCCGTGAATAAAAATCTTTTACTGGTGTTTCTGAGTTAGGTTATAACCTATTTATCGACTTTGTAACAGTCCCCTTATGGTGCCCCGTGAATATAAATCTTTTACTGGTGTTTCTGAGTTAGGTTATAACCTATTTATCAACTTTGCAACAGTCCCCTTATGGTGCCCCGTGAATATAAATCTTTTACTGATTTTTCTGAGTTAGGTTATAACCTATTAATCGACTTTGCAACAGTCCCCTTATGGTGCCCCGTGAATAAAAATCTTATTTCCTCCTTAAAACGTGTGAAATATAAAACGATCGTCTTATTGGATGATGGATGAACGAGATTAAAATTATATTGAACTGACAACGAGTGGCGCAGATGACAAGCAGATTTTTCTTTTATTTTCTATTTCCGTATTAATTCCACTATCCACATCACGCTCTTCAACATAAAAAAATGATATAAACACTTGTATGGTCGTCTGTAATTGACATTTGATACATGTATATCGTTAAATACTCAAAATATGTCTCTGGTAAAAACATTTATGCATAATCAGTAAACGACAGCTAAAATACCTGCTCATTAAATACCAAAACATTAGAACTGTTTACGGAAAATTTAAAATTGGTCAAAATGACGTCAACCAAAAATGTCTTTTTCATCATGTTACAGATAGTATATTTATTTTGCACATTTTTTGTTTGTTTGTGTGCTTGCGTGTTGAGGATAATGCCACGTGGATAAAGTCATTTTTAGGGTATCCTTTTAGCTGGTAAATACCTTTCGAACAGTTTATGGGAGTGTAGGTTAGGGGATAGGGGGTAGGGGGTGGGGGTAGGGGTAGGGGTGGGGGCGTTGTATGAGCATTCATTGGACATTGCCAGACCAATTCTCTACAGATTGAACAATCGCTGCCCCTGATTTTTGCAAACAAGCAGATGATCAATCCACGAAAAATAGCTTATGCTCTGGCCCTAAATAAAATGACGTCATAATGACGTCATCAAAGTATGTGTATATCTTACCTCAAATGAACTGGTGAGTCTTAGTGGATAAATCAATGGGACGAATATGTATGCCGCCATAACGACAGCTGACATCACACCGAACGTGTAAACAAAATACTGAGTTCCTTTGGTAAACATTTCCGCCGGGGTCCCCAGAATCAATATGGCGGACATGAAAGAGACCAGTATCGAAACCGAGACTGGAATCATCTTCATATCTCTTCCACCCAACAGAAATTCTTTCGTAGAGTTCTCCTTGTTTCCTTGAAACGCGTAAAATATTCCGATAGCAGCTGATATAGCCAACATGGAGACGAAAGCAACCCAATCCCACGTGTCAAATTCAGTTTTGGGAGCCATCTTGTTTTTTCTTTCTTTTTTTTTCTTAAGAGTGAACACCGTTCTTAAGATATCACAGCTTTCTTTAATTTATGCTACGAGATATCTAAAAGCTCAAATAAGATTATTTTTTTAAATTTGTGATTTATCATTTGATAAGAAATGTGAATTTGAACCCCGAGCCTCTTATGTTAGAGCAAATTAATCCCGTCCTTGGCGCTGATGAATACATCCGAACGAACTAACAATTGTGGAAATCCCTCCAAACTCGAGTATATCCGAAATGGAGAATGCTACTCCAGAAATGTTTTCATAAAATAAGATATTCGCTTTTAAATGTTAACATTATTGTACATGTGTCCATGAACACCGACGTCTCAAAGACGATCTGTCACAATAACTTTGCTGAAAATGTCCTTACGCAGAGACCATGAACTTGACGACGTTGTCATACTGCTACACATTTACACAGGTGTGATACACAGGTGTGCTACACGTGTGTACATTGTACATTGACAGACAGATGAAAAACAATGACATGGTATTCATGAATTGACATGAATCGGATGAGTCGTTTGAAGATGATAAACCATTAAATGCTGTAACATATGTAGATTACACTATATGACTAGAATCGTGAACAGAAATAATATATATGTACAGGGCGTCATGTATTGGATGCCTGATGTGTAAATTACTGATGTCTATCTGTTTAACTGATCGATGGTAATTTTCTGTAGTTCTGAAAGGAACGTGAAGACAGCAATGAGATTACACTAATACACAGGAACCTGTATCTGGAACGTAAACAGACAGAGCTTCAGATCAGTATACATCATACAGGAAGGACATTGACTGAAATAAAAATATAAAACAAAAGAAACACAACTATTAATTAAATAAATTAAATCGATGGAAAACGCAAAAGCGTAACAATTAATTAATCAAAATCGCAAAACGTTGGCTGTAAAAAAATTGTCGCATTTCCATCTTTTTGCGTTATGACCGACGCGAAAACTCGCCGAACGTCGCTTTTTCGCTTTCCGAAATGACATGCGTATACAAAACTGAAATCGAAAGTAGCTTACCAGTTCAGGCGACGGGTACGTTCTAAACTTAACTTTCAATGAAGTTTAATATCAAGAATAGCTACATATCTTATGCAAATAATAAATAAGAAGCTTATTAGTTGAGATATGGAAGTATTCATCCCATTCTGGATTTTCGCATTCTAAATTACGCGAAAGTGCGACGTTCGGCGGGGTTTCGCGTCTATCATCACCACGTAAAAAGGCGAAAAAATGAAAACGAGACAAAAATTATGCGAAAAAGCGAGGTTTTTTACAAGAATGAAACGACGTTTTTTCGTGTTCATTTTGTAGCCTATTCGCGTTTTAGTGTAGAAACAACGCGAAAGGCGAAGGACGAAATGGCATAAATTAGACACCACAAAACAGTGATACACGCTAAAGTGCAAATAATGCAAAAATACAAACAGTTGGAAACGCAAAACCACAACCAGCAGTTATATCTAAATGGCAAAACTTCGGCAAAACGACGAAAAAATCTGCAGATGGCGCGAAAATATTCAAACAAGAGAAAACACAAAACACATTTTTAATTGGAGCGAATGCTAGATTTTCATTTTATAACTGATAAAAAGCATTATAGAATTTAGATATCTATTAAAAAGGTATGCACTTTCTGTAAAGTGTAACAATTGAAAGTTTGCATAACCATGTTATTCAATACTGAACCACAGGGTTAGCAACGATAATATGTATAAAAATTGTCAAGAATCAATAACATTCCGTTTAGTATACTACATCGTGCTTTTACAAGTATAATTTATGTCCCTGCATATATACATACACAATGCTTCATTCGTATTTTATATCTATGGAGAATACATGGTCTTAAAATATAAGTTGTATTTTGGCGAAGGTGAAGAAAGACAAAAATTGTATTACATTTATCCTGCAACATTAATTTAAAATTAGACAATCTAAACTTCAACGGTCTAGTTGTTCTATCTGTGTTTACACGACGTTGATTTTGATGCTGACGTACGCCAAAAAAATTACTTCACTCAGAAATATAGTTCCCAATTTAAATGAATATGAAAGTGATTTTCGGAGTTTTCGTAAATAAATTTCTTCTTTACATCTCTTTATAAAAACGCTTATTTCAGCAGGTATTTCTATTATTAAACGTAACTCTAAAGCAAATTCAGAGAGTCATCTAGTCGAATTACCGCACGTGATAAAATACAGCTGTTTTCCGAACACAGCAAAAATATAGGTGGCAGGTGTATTCCGACAATTGCAGCGCAAGTTGCAGAATAAAGACACACACACACACACACACACACACACACACACCCTCATCTATATGTATATATATATATATATATATATATAAAATGGATGTTTTTGTTGCTTGACAACCCAATTAGTACAGAAACCGTTTGATCCGTTTTGCACAGGCAAAAACCCCATGGATTATGTGTCTATATTCTGTACCCCAAACACAGAAAAAATACCCAGCTTGAAGTTAGCTTAGAAATGAAACATTGCTAAAGTAAAGAAAAAACACTCTCTCCAAATAAATATGAAGTCTCGGAATACACCATTGTAAGAGTATGGTACGTATACGATCGATATGTTTCCCCTGTATGTTACTCGGAACGGTTTTTAAATCAAAACCACTTTGAAAAAAAATGTAGCCTGAAATTCTCAGCAGTTGATTTGATAATGGACTTACCTCAAATGAGCTGGTGAGCTCGAGCGGGTAAAGGAGAGGAACAAAGATCAAGGCTGCCAAGATTACAGCTAAAATCATTCCGAAAACATACAGAAAATACTCAGTTCCCTCCATATACATCTCTGCCGGTGTTCCCAAAATCAAAATGGCGGACATGAATGAAACAAGGATAGAAATGGCGATCGGAAACAGTAACATGTTTCGTCCACCCATCAGAAATTCGTTCGTAGATGCTTCTCGGCGTCCCTTGATGGCATAAAACACTCCAATCCCAGCAGATATTCCCAGCATTGCCGCGAAAGCCAACCAATCCCACACGTCAAATTCATCCTTGGAAGCCATTGTGTTGAATCAATTGTGCTTATGTGAAGACCGTATTCTGTATGTAGTTATGTTCAATTTCCCTAAAATTCCCTGTTTTAAGAATTAATGTTTTTCATGAAAAAAAAAAAGAAAAAAACATTTACAGTATCTGTAAACGGACTCTGCGAAATTGAAAAAAAAATTGATAAATAAAAAACTGACGCTCTAGAAGAAATCGACGTTTTGTAATGATCATCCCACACAGACTGCATGCAATACGCCCTGTTTGGTACAGCGCATACATAAACTGGCCTGATCCAGTGAAATCGGGGACGTGAACGAAACTAACGCCAGCAGACACAGGTATATATTGACAGTTACTTGGTAAACAACGATTAGCATAAATATAAACCACAGTTACCCTCAAGTGATATCAACTTTTACTTTAAAACTTTATTTTCGTTTAAAAAAGACTTAAAGTATATCTTTTTTCAACGTCACGGATTGTGTGAAATTAAGTCAGAACTCTATAAAACCCCGAATATATTGCAAAATCGATATGGATGTCAAAAAATCTTATCTGTGATAAAGATGACTAAGCTTGAAGTCACCTTGAACAGAAATCTTGTGATGCTAGGGTGGCGCTCCAGTCGTAAGTACATAACTTAGTACAGTACTCGACCTAGAATTGTATATCAACATTGTAATTACGGTCTATAGAGTACGTCATGATATTGTATATGTAGTCTAACGTGACACAGAGGTTAAGCACAGACAGTTGTCGGTAAAAAGACTGTGACGTGAATATGCATTTTCCTTAGTGGGAGATCAACACGAACACAAAATGTACCGCATATGTTGTAGGTTATAGTATGGGATATACGGTAGTGTGGTTCTGTGAATTAATTTGGGGTCACTATCCTAAATTTATTTCATTCGATCGGTGAGTGAGAGCAAGTAAAATCCTCACATACTAACAACTGTTCAATATTATTAGTTATGTAGTTTGCTAGTGACCCCCTACAGGAATATAGGGGTTCAGTCAGAAGGGGGATTCGGGCTTCGCCCTCACCCCCTACCAATCTGACTGAACCCCTATATTCCTGTAGGGGGTCACTAGCAAACTACATAACGAATTTATTGCACTAAGGACCCATTTAAATATATATATAATACGTCCCATCACATTTCCTGGCATCCATGTAAAAATGGCCAAGACATTCGTCCAGTCGGACTACATCGTAATCTTCAAAATCTGGGTTTTGCTGCTTTTCCACCAAATAATCTTTGAACACTTTAGCGGCCAACTTATTAGTTTTTAACGTCTTATCAGCGTTAAGTGCCAGGCGTTTTTTTTCCTTGTCTGCAGCTGTCGTCTGCCCGAACCGCCCAGCCATTTTTGATCCGAGTCAAATAGGTGCTTCGTGTAGGGGAAACAACTCGTACTAGATAATAGCAACTTCTAGGATTCACTCTAGCCAATATTCCGACACGGAACAGAATGTGAATATCGCCAATCTGTGATTTGAAATTACGAAGTGACGCCTTTCAGAGATAATGGATGGCGGCCATTGCCCCCTATATATTCAGCTGCCCCCTATAGATTTATAGGGGGCAAGCAACGTCCAATCAGATCAATGCATTTTAGTCCGAGGTGCAATAAACAAAAATATCATCACGATATTTCTTTGGTGACGTCACAATTCATATGACGTCACGAACGTATGACGTCATCACGAAAACAATACGATTCCTCAGTACTACTTTGTGTCTCAAACATATAATGTTATATCTGTAGTATCTACTATGGTATAATGGTATTATAAGGATGGTATTGTTTCTTGTCTTGATCAGTCTTCATATTTAGGGATTTTACTAAAATATAATAACAGATTCAGTTGTATCCAGAAGCAACTGGCTGTCCAAGGACGTAAAGCTTTGTTTGTTTTACTTACTAAGTACTCTTGTTTAAACCCTAATATAAAAACAGTGGTGTATTTATTTGATACTTATGTGGGTAGTATCCTTTATTATGCACGCGAGATATGGGGTTCGTGCTAAGAGCCTGATGTAGAACATGTGCGTTTGGATTTTTGTAAAAAGCTGTTCAAAGTATAGAAGACAGCGTGTAACAGTATGGTTTATTCTGAATTGGGATGTTTCTTTGGAATCTCTGACAAAATATATAGAAATAAAATGGTTTAAAATCAGAGTTTCTGATAACTGTACTGTGTCCGAATTATATTATTTTCTGTAAAACCAGTGAAACAGAAATGCTTTCAATTGAGTGACTTCTGTTAAGGAAGAATTAGATAATGTAGGTTTTAGTGATGTATAGATAAATCCTAATAGTGTCACTCGACCAAATTTAACTTAATTGGAGATTTAGCAATGAATATTTGATCAGGCAAAGCAATTAATTATGAGTTCATTGGAAAATTCACCAAAATGCTTTACGTATAAATATCTCGTATGTCAATTTTTTTTCTTTGCAGTTTTACGTAAGTAAATATATTCCAATTAAATATCGTACGAGTTTGACTAGAATCCGTACATCATGTCATTCTTCTGCCAGTAGAGACAGGAAGAAATATCCTAATGGCACACCGATACTGACAACAGTATTACTGAAGTTACGGATGAATTCCGTTTTTACTAATATGTAGACAATTCCAAGTCATTCAAGCTCTTTGTATTAAGGTGTATTACTGGAGAAAAGCTTCAGTCTTTACGTTAATTGAATTATTGTAGGAACTTTATATGTTAGAAAAAATATTTATTACGCTAATGAATTGCGAAATCCCCCTTGGATTTTGTAATGTAAAACATTACCATTTTCTAATATTGCACAAACGTCATTTTGTTTTCACTCATTTACAGGTATTCTCCAAGGAAACATGTTAACCTTTCTCTTTTTGTTGAGTATATTTGTTTCATTCCCTATATCTATGTAATGGTGCTATGTTGTTTGTATGATCATTCTATAGAAATCAGACAATTTCTATTCATATTTACGTAAGTCTACGTTACATATCACTACACGTCTCACCGTTAATGACCAACAACTAACACTCTTTTTATTATTCAATACTTTGGATTAATAAAAAAATCTTCCCTCCTCCCCCTCCCTTACTTCTTGCACTCAGTCATCCTCCCGCCCATTCTTCCTCCCTCACTCGCAGGTTAGTTTTACTGGCAGACTTGAAAACTCGCTCAACAATTCTAACAGACTGGCTTGTTTGTTGGCTGGTTCGATCTCTCGCTCGCTCAAGCATTCTCTCATTCACAGACAGACAGACAGACAGACAGACAGACAGACAGACAGACTTACTCACTCACTCTGTCAATCAAACGATCTGTAAATAAATAAATAAATAAATAAATACCAATTGTCTTACCTCATACGCGCTGGTCAGCTGGAGTGGATACATGAGAGGAACTATAAGGGTAATGACAAATGTACCTCCGATCACATAGGCAAATATTATCAAAAGAAACATGGTGCCATGGCTGAACATCTCAGCCGGATATCCGAGCAGCGAAATGGCGGACAGAAACGAAACCAACATCGAAATAGAGATCGGAATCAGTTTTAACTGTCGATTACCCATCAGGAAATTAGCAGTTGTTTTCTGTCTGTCACCAATTAAAGAAAAATATATTCCAATTATGACTGAAATCGACAGCATTGCGGCGAAAATGATCCAATCCCACACACCGAATATCTTTACTGTAGGCATCCTGATCAGTTCTATTCCAAAACTGAATAGTTCCCAACAATCTTATAGTCCTAATATTTCTAAGATAGGAATAATCCACATTATACTTGTATATAACAATACTTCATTGAAAAATTCCTATTCTGCTTCGATCTGACTGTATTTCAGGCCCCACTTGTATAAAACATCTCAACTTGAGATTTCCTCAAGTCGAGATTTTCCTCAGCTGATATCTCCTCCAAAACGGCTTGTATAAAATTTTCTCAAGGAACAGGAGGAAGGTATCGGCTAGGATGTCCTGAAATTCCTTGAGGAATTTTCATACAAGATATTTTCAAGGAAATATTAGCTGAGGAAAATCTCGACTTGAGGAAATCTCAAGTTGAGATGTTTTATACAAGTGGGGCCAGGTCACAAAGATACCAGTTAATGACCTCATATGATGTTGACATTACGATGGATTAACCCTGTATAACCGAGATTATTATCAGTATGTAAGGTCAATCTAGTATCAAAAGAAAACGCAAAGCACCATTCAATACAAATAAGATACAGTATATCAAAATGATGAAGGAAGCTGTATCATGCCAATGTATCGTCTTTCTAGGACTTGTCAGTGATGCTATTTGTAATAACATAGGCGAATGAGGAATGCCAGGACAAAGGTGAGGGAGATATATTTCAAAAAGAAATTCGAAAATATTCTAAATAATTTATTTTGAATATCTAAAACAAACGTGATATAAGAGGAAAAGATTTACCTATAGGTTTGAATGTTGCTAATCAGTTTTTCATTGGACACTCATCTCACATAAGTATGTTACGAAGTAATATATAGGTTATGTACATTTCTTTCAATATAGTTGACACGAAAGCTGACCTAGACATTTCTGTCCTGATTAACACGTGATATAAATTGTTACAAAGAACTTATACATTAAAGTTATGATGATTTAACACAGTCGAATGTCACTTACGGTATTTTCACATTCAAATTAACTCAATTAAATGGGCGTTTTTAAAATCTTAGTTATAACATTTCATATTACATGTAATTTACCCTTCCGTTGAACAAGGACATTTTAGGTATATCGGCTGAGAGGACTCGCAAACTCACTTTCTGCGAAACAAAAATAAATGTTGTTTTTACCCCGCTAAACATTATCTTTTCGTAGTAAGAGAAATAATTAAAGAAAATAATTAAGACACTTTGAACGTCTTGCTAATTAAATGAACTTTCGACATTTGCATAAAATTTAGATAAGTGTAGGTACAGCTGATTTAACCGAACAAATTACAGCGAAATGTAGTTTATATATA